AACTTCAAATTCTGTATAAAACAACATGCTCAATAACTCAATCAAAAGTTGGTAAGCATCCTTTTCATGTTACCGCCAATTGTATTTATAAATTTACGTGTACCTACCAAAGCAGCTACATTGGCCGAACAGAAAGGAGGGCATATCTCAGATTTTTTGAACATGTCCCAAAAAGCCTCAGAACAAGAGAAAGAAAGACTCTAAATAGTGCAATCACCAAACATCTTCTTGATACAGGACTGTAGAATTATGGTCTACTAAGATATTAGTACTGCTCTAATAATAGACTTAATCCTAAATTTGTAGATTTGTCATGATATAACTGCCCAATCTATAAGATCTAACGTGGAAGTCACACCATCGGCTACACCAACTCACTGTATCGTATCAATTACCAATACATGATGTAGAACAAGGTTAGGCTAGAGAAAGAACAATATATTTAATATGAATAGAAGATAAAAGGTAACATTCAGCAGAGACCACGCCTGGATGGCCGAGCCATGCCACTCGATCAACTCTAGTACATTCAATTCCTTGTTCGCGCCTTCTCCATTGTTAGGTATTTCTCCGCGTTAAATATTGAATATCTATTTTCTGAGTAGTCCCGTGTTCACAGCTTTGTGGATTGTGTGGCTATTGTCCAATGCCATTACAGGACATCAGGTCGATACCCTACAATCACTCAAGGTGATTAGTAGGCAGCCAAACTCCAGTCTTCTGAAGTTTGCTGAAGCAGTTGCTATCAGGCGCTAAAAGCCTGATTTATGTGTTCAAAAGGAGGTGGTTATTAATCTTTCATTGCCTTGGTGATTAATATTCCTTCGTTATATCTTAATAATTTGTTTTTTCTTTTTCCTTAAACTCTTTCTTGCATTTATTACACCATTATGTTTTATTCCAATTATCTTATTTTATCAACTGAATTCTACTCATTTTATTCCTATCAAGGTTTATTTGTTTCTGACCGTTTGAACTGTTGTCACAACGTTCTTTCATCACATAAGGTATATATTTACAATATTCAGTCTATTAAATTTACTTACACCCTTGCTATACTATATGAATATGTCTTTAATATAACTTCCAATCAAACTCTTTTATGTAAGTAATTTAAACCCATTAATTATGATCTTAAATATCACAGGTTGTAAGCAGCTGACGAGGACCAACGAAATAAAAATGAATTCATGTTATTCTGCTAGAATGTTTGTTTTGCTCTTTTCAAAATGATAAATGGAACTATGTGTATGAAATGTAAGTAAAGTTGTTGGGCCAGTGAGGTGTCACGGAGCTCGAACTAAATCATAATCAGTCGGGTCAATGGATGTCGAACAGTTCACCGGTCGTCGTCAAGTTCATGGACAGCCATATGGATTGATCACACGCCGTGGACTGGCCCATGCGGTGAGGGTCGCACTCTCTTCTATGCACCTACTCTTACTAATATATGCCTGTAATTGCGTCCATTGTATTATACAGACTTCAAACCTGCCATAGCACTTTGACATGACCGAATGGTGATCTACGTTAGGTGTGTGACTTCTGAATTAGCCGGTTCATCACACCATTTGCGTCCAATTCGAGCGGTCTCCCGACCATTCGACACGGTTAATCTACGTTGGTGATCTACATTGTGAATGGGATGTGAATATGAGCCACATTTTCTGTTCAGTTACATACGCGGTAAAACGTAATGGTTTCTTCACAAAACTCATGGATGCACACTTATGCACGTCTCACAAAAGATAATAACTGAAAAATCCAAACTTCTCAAATTTGATTTTGGTGAACCTGAGTTCCGGTTTGCTTTATCGAAGCATCACATCACCAAATATCAACAAATTTTGAGAAATTAGATACCGATATTTGTGCTCAGCGCTCTCTTCTGATGTCAATAATGATGAGTGCCATTTAATACTGAGTTCCTCAATGCACCACGACATCACACATAATAAATACGTATCAGATGGTCAATGAATCTAAAGTGTCTCCAATGGTAAAATATTCTGTATTGATTGTCACATCTAAATTATGATCTGGATTTTTCTTGAAGGACGGTCGACTGACATTATAGAGAATTTAAACAAAAGTAGCAAGAAAATCAAATTCTCACTCAAGTATCAGAATGTCTTCATAAATTAAGAGTTATCAACCCATGTGCTGAACCAAAACATGGTGAAAAACAAAAATGAAAGTCAAATTTGTGACCAAACATGTTCAAGTTTGAGTGAAACACATGTACGAGAAAACCAGTAAAAATAATGACATTAAGATAACAGTATGCGGCCAGTTAAATGCCTGAAGTTCCCTTAGACCACGTCTTCTCTGAGAAACTAGCAGGTTCCTTAAATAAACTTTCACGAATAAAAAGACCAAGCCCACCCTTGGAAAATATGTATTCCACCCTCCCTTGGATACTGTGCATTCAACTTCTTAGACATGAATGTGACTGACAATGTACAAGTGAAAAAATGTTCGAAAACGCTCCATATGCCGACTGTCGGGAAAGAACTCCATCATCTACTACACAGTTAGTTGCAGATCTCCCCCGTTATACCCTTTTTGAGACTTCAGCTAAAAAAAAACCACTTCTTTACTTCAAAATAATATATCTTCACCCAATTAAGCCTTGGAGGGAATTATGATCCACGACCATGTTTTTACACTCAGAAAAGATGCATATATACTATTAATCTTAAAACACCAGAAACTAATGAGTTGTACATTTTTAAAGTATGGTGTGGTTTGCTGTGGGACAGGCAGCCATTGCATACACGATACTGTGGTACTATAACCCAATTTGGATGACTTGTAACCTTTTTCATAGATTTTAAGAGGAACTAGTGGCCATATTCCGGATTTCCACACTTCTTCATGGACAATGTAGCGTGGGGTCGAGTCGAGATTGACTATGAACACCGCTACCAATAAACACGTGCCAAGTAAATCAGAAGGCGTAAGAAGCTCGTTCCAAATGACTCCATAAAATCCCCGAGAAGCCAAATATCAGAAGGCAGTTAATGGACCAAGTCGAGATATATTTGCCGGCGATCTCGTGGTATCGAAAGGATACTGAAATCGTGCCAGGATACAAGCTCGGTTACAGAATGTAACCGAATTCGCGCGAAGTCACAATCAAATTGTAAGGATAAGAATGGAAGCACAATATAGCTGTCATTAGCACAGTCAAACAAAAGCACATTAAAATAAACACTGGTACAGTTGGTTATAATAATAATTGTTTTTATTAAACCAGTCGTGTTCTCGTGATAAATGTGAGTCACTACAACAACATATCATATATGTTTTAACAAATTGCTGATTGATCAAGAACATATTTAACTACTAAAGTCATTCGTATATTTGTATAAGTGACCAATAAATTTCACGAACTCTCCTTTCCCTTTATGTTGTATCCTTGTACCTCCACTCATTCTGCATTCATCAAACTCTAGGTTTTCAATGTTCACTGTCCCATTATCCGTCTTTAAGCTGTTCATCTCTGTTTTAATTCTCGTTTCACACAAATGACTCACCTTAATTATGGAAGCTGCTTGACTATGGTTTATCACAAAAAACGCATGCTACCATGTAATACAGTGGGTTCTTTCTAATTCATTGACTTTTAGTTTACTAAGTTTCATGTCCCGAATTTATCAACATTCCGTGTCTCTGTATCTACTCACCCATCTTTTTATCATTTTAGAAACCCATAATCTTCCCTTGAAGAGCCTTTCACCAGAAATCTACCCTTACCCTCTCAAGATTACTCATTATATTTTTATGGTTCCATAATTTGTGCCATTACCTAACTTCATAGCAACCTGACACTAAGTGAATATGTAACCTCTAATACGGAAGCTATGGTCGTGTGATTTTCTTGTAAAATAGTACTTGTAGAATGTACACCAGCAGGATATTTGGAATGCAGCTAAGTGGAGCGCAGTTATTTTATGTGTAGACATGAGGAAGACTAATATTGCTAAAGTGTAGGTTGGCATCCCATTAGTTACCTGCGCCTATAATGTTTTTTTTATCCTGGGTCCGTTCACATTATTTGGATCGATCGGTTCTAGCCACGCCAGAAAATTATTGGATTAACTCATTGTTCAACGTTTGACATGGTGATCGATGCAACAGCCCATAAAGTGACTATTGGAATTTTTTAAACGACTTGTTACTGTGGTGCATCGTTGTTGGCAAGATATGTAAAGTTTGTCTTTTTCCCCTAAAATACTAATATTATCTGGGGGACAGAACAAACCTATCGTGGATGGTATGACGATGGTCAATATTCGAGACGTAGGTCACTGTTTGTTTGTATTTCTCATCGACTGACGATACTAGAAAATAAGAAAGGGTGACACGAAATACTAGTCCACTGACAATAACGACATGCCATAATCATCTGAAAACGTGCAAGTTTTCACAGTATTGTATTAGTGAAGATTGCAAAGAATAATAATACGTATATATTTTATTAATATAATCGCCTTTAATTTTCTCATGATATTCGTGAAAACGAAATTTCGGCACGAACGGAGAAATTCGGAAGTTTCTGTGCTACAACTACGATAGTTTATGGATTATAATTTAAGTGTCGAACCGTTAATATGTTTATCGAATTATCTTAATGACGGTTAATTTATTCCTCAAATATTGCTAAATTTGTTCATAAACTACTTCTGTGAGACAGCTTTTTTTTATTATCGATTTTAGAACGGCTTAAAAAGAAGGTGACAAAACATCATATAGCTGAAAAATGCATTAAAATACCTCACTTCATCAAGATTATATTGAGAACATCACTCGCGAAATTTCGTCAGTTGTGTTTATAATTCCTCACTATGTAAAGTAATCCTCGTCAACCCCGATTTTCATATAGACCGGTTTTAATGATATGACAGCTAGCTTGTAATTATTTGTTATTTTTCTAGTCACCATTAAATATGTGACTTCAACTTACTTTTGACTTTGTTTAGTTGAGCCTTTCGTTCAACACTTTTCGGTCACAAGAAATGCGCTGGGTTTGCCTAATATTATTTTGACGTTAAAGTGGTTCACATGTCGGTAACATGAAAACATAGTCAGTTGATGATCCGTAAAATTGTCAAGTTTAGACGTGTTAGTAGAGCAAGAGAACGGATAATGTCTCTTGTTACTGATTCAGTCACTGTCCAGGCAATGGTTCTAAATAATTTATCTGCTGTTGTTAGAATAGCCACCGATGAAGTCTTGATAAATCAAGAGTATCCAGATTCAGTTGAAAAAGCCCTCTTATTTTCCTTAAAATGTTTATTGAGCAAGCACAAGTGCACTGATCATTTTGTCTATAATGTGTATGCAGAAAGTCCTGAACCTTTGTTTAAGCTGCAGTCGAACGAGTCTAGTAACGGATTACAACAGTATCAGGAATTTCCAATGTTTCCGGGGAATTTATCGTTGTTCCATATAATTAATACATTTGTGTATACTTTGTCATCAGAAGATATTCTTGCTTTAGATAAAGCATTAAAGTTCGGCCGTGAAGGTTATTATTGTCTTGTGAAAAATCCATCCAGTTTTCCGAAATCAGTGAATTTCCAGAATGACTTAGTGGAACTTTCTGATTGTGTACATAGTTCCGAACAACCTGAGGAATCAATGGAGAAATGCAATAAATGTGTCATTCGTAATTTTCGTCCATTATATCGATGTTCGAGGTACGTAGTCGGCCTAACGTGTTCACAATGTGAGTCTTTCAAACCGAAACGGACTAAAAGCAACTCTCCACCCAATAATTGTGTTTCAGGGACCGCCTTATTTTGTATTGATCTTTTGCTTGCTGTTTGCAAAGCGTGGAGGTGGAAGGACTTAAGCCCTGGCGATTATCTCAGGTAAACTTAATCTATTTTGTATATTTCCTCGCGGATTTTGTTTTTTTGGTCGGATGAGTACCATAATTTGCGTCACAATAAGGTTTTTTTGGGCCAAAATCAACTCTTATATACCAAACTACCAACAGTAGAGTCATATTTCGATAGTTGAATCACTTGACTGTCTCTAAGTAAGCTGCATATCGAAAACTGACTACAAGTACTAAACTTTTGACACTGAACTAGTAATAGAAATAGTAATTTTGAGACATTTAGAGTGATTCAAAACACCTGTACTTCATGTTATACTGTTAGAAGTGCGTTTCGTCTTGTTAAAATCAGTATTTGGGATCAAAATAAAAAAGGACATGAATAAATAGCTTACTCAATTACGAATGTAACCCCTCATGGAGTATAGGCTGTCAACCAGTAATCTCAAAACTTACTCTTCATTGGTCTCTCCTTTCTGGTATTTCTCAAGTGCCATTTATTTTCTTAATGTTTGCTTCCGATTTCCAACGCAATTTGTTCTTTAGTCTGTCTATTTTTCTTTTGCCTTGAGGATTCCAATTTGCTATATATTGCAGATTGATGGTTTTCGTAATGAGTATCCTATCCATCTCCAGCGCTTTTTCAGTGTTTTCTCGGCTGAAAGCTGGTTTGTTTTCTTCTAGAGTAAATAAAGTCAGGTAAAAAACATATATTTTAGATTATTATTATTTTAAGATACAATCTTAATTGGACTTTCTTCGTTGAATGGTTTTAGCATAGTAGAATAATCCTGCATGACTTTTACACATTACTTACTAATAGTGACCTCTCATTGGCATAATTAAAGAGGTTACTTAGATAGCTTTCTATGGAGATGGAGCTTAATAGTCTAAACTCTCTACTTTTGTTCATTCGACTCAATGTTTTGATTTAATTTCCATTTCGTTAATTGACGTAAACCGCTAGTATATCTGGTTCTTATAGCGGTTTCTTAACACTTTGTGTGACCATCCTCCATCGTCTTCGGTGGTTAGCTGCCTCACAACTGACATAGTTAAGCTTCACCAGTCATGTCATCTCACTAGAACTCCGAAAATCAGTTGTCAAACCTATTCATTAGTGGGCACAATGAAATTTAAGAATCTCCTCAAATAAACACTGAAAATTATTATGTGCTCATCAGTGATTAGCTTCAAGAGGTAATTCTCAGAGTTCTAGTGAGAAGCCATAACCAGTGGAGCTAATCTGTGTTAGATTGAAGCAGTAACCCACCGAAGACGATGGAAGATGGTTGTGCAGTATTGTGGATTAGTTGAAGTTAGACAGTAACACCGTTGAATGCCAGCTCAATGGTCTAGGGGTTAAGCGCTCGCGCGTAAAGTCGAAGAACCTAGATTGGAGTCCCGCGTGCGAGATCGTGGATGCGCATAGCTGAGGATCCTCACCTTAGAATGAAGCGACCATCCAGTCACTCCAGGTTTTCTATAGTGGTCTAACATTGTTCGGTTCATGGTTCCGATATATAAGCCTAATTTAAAACAGGGTAACTGATCGTATATAAATCACGTTAATCTCATTTCCTAGCTTGCTTCAACAGAATAAAGTCGTTATGACAATTATTTCATCATTGGAGTGATACGTATTATATTTCACAAGACGTTGTAATCATATGGCTTTGTACACTCATACATAAAATTCTAGTATATAGTGTTCAAAATATTCACTTTCTTGAGTTTCCGGTAATGTACGCAGTCGCACTTACAAGCGTTAATATTCTTCCAGACAAAATACTTAAAAATAAATTATCTCTATTTTGTGTAGAATGAAAAATTGTTATTCATGGACTAAATGTTTTTCACTATATGAAGATAGTTTGCATAGTGGTATTTTGACGGCGGAACATTTATTTAATAATTTTATCCGTGCATGTTAAAGCCACATATAAGAAAAGTATTTTCTCGATTAATTTTGTTAAATTTAGTGTTTCTGTTTACTAGATAATAAGTCTGATTAGCTTGATATTTTCCTTTGTAGCTTGAAAAAAAAACAAATGTAACATTTATAATTTAGTCTTCGTATACTGATTTTCAGATTAGACTTTAAGCCTCACTTAATGTGTTTGTGGTGCATACTACTTAAACTGACAGATATAAATAGTATGTAGCAGCAATCGGATGTGGAATGCCTTCCATCAGAAGATTGGGAAGATTGAATTAAAGAGAGCAGGGAGGGAAAGAGATCAATAACAATAACTACAGAATTGGAAAAATCATGAGGCATGTAAAGGACAATTGAAGGTAGATCTGAAAATAATGTATTCAAGGCATGACTTTCATGTTTTACGAAAGCACTAATTTTTTATTACACAATAAATCGGTTAACTCCATCTGAGTTCTCGTTTACCACATGTATGGTTTCCTCGATTAGTTATTACATTTCGACAGCCTGGTTGTAGATTTGAAATTTCTTACCTTCATTTCGGGCAACCGGCTACTTTTGGTGGTCCTTATACAATGGCACATATTGCTAAAGCGAGTGGACAAACCTTGTTTACAGATTCAAATTAGTTGCTTGTATCCAATTAGGTGAACCAGTATTTTAACAAACCAGTTACTACATTAGTTAGATTTACTATTCTAATTCCACCGTTATCAGTCTTATTATCACTACGAGTAAATATTTGGACTAATCCACCTTTTGATTATTGCTGATTCACATACATTTATATCTTCAGACATGTTTGTACATATACATATATATATTTCAAACACTTCAAACACTTCACTTCTATCTGAAGTTTGTGCTGATGATGTCGTTCAGAAGAACGATGAAAGCTTCACGACCAAACCATCCAGCTCAGAGAACAAAACTCCACCAAAATCATCCACCTGAGCTACAAATCTTCTCCACCATCTCACATATATATATTTCCTAGCTTTATTTAATTTTTCGTTGTTGAAAAAATTACCAGAATATATGAAATAGTTATTAATTTATCAGAGCAAATATTGACTGATCATAGAAAAATTCTTGAAAGCTACTTCGCTTAAATATTAAACTAATTATTGTTTCAACAGCTGCTTAGTGTATATACAGTGCAGAAATGCGCTCAAAAATCGTCGGGAAAACTAGGATGGATGACGACTCAGGTCGCTGTGGTTTGGCTCCCGCTTGCTGGCGGCGTTTGCAAATCCGTTTGCCGCCATTCTAGACTGACCATTTATTGTGTTGCCCACCTAGTATCTACTTATGGGATTATATGTATAAATATCGACGCAAACAAATCATTTATCACCATTTACAATTTGCTTGATATCGAATAGAGGTAGAAGAAGAACATATTCCTCTTAGACAGGTAATTATTTCGGACGTAGTGCAATAAAACGAAATTTTCTGTGTGCTGTTTTAGATTAAAATCGAACTTCAGTTTTTGCATTTTGCTATTTGAATGATTCCATGTGGATTATATATGCGTATATATATATATATATATATATATATATATATATATCAGCGCTGGCGCCTGTAAAAGACCTTAATGCATTCTAATCCGAAAACTAACTGAATTTCTTTCCATTATAGGATTGTGTCTGCTTCGGGGGTGTACATGTATGTGCACGTATGCTTCTTGTGTGTGTGAATCAAGTCACATCTTTTATTATTGAATAAGTTGTAGTTTGTTCACTAAAAGAACAAGTTGGAAAAGCGCATAATAAATGAAACCATAGTAGTTTACATCATAACCAATTTTAATTAATGTTTAGTACAACTAGTACCAAACTCTCTATCTGTGATGGCGTCTAATGCAGTTTTTTATCATTTAATTTATACACTATGTTTCATTATGTTGCCATAATTCTAAAGACGTATATATTCAACTCGTTTAATTTAGCTATGTTATTAATGATCTTGATGTGAATGATTTTAGTTGAGTGCGAATAAATTAAGTTTTGATGTACAAAACCAAACCCTTTATGATTTCTCTAGCGTAATTATACTAATGCATAAAAGATTTATTAGTGTTTCTCTGATATCGTTTGGTCGGAAAACTACTTTTTTCCATACCAGGGAAATATTCTCTAGCTTATCAACACTGTAATCTGTCCAGCTATACGCTTATGATTTGATTTTTTAGGAATAAGTACCATGGTAATATCATCGTTCCGTTGTTACGGGATCACTCTGTAGGGTGGAGCACATCTGTTTTCTAAGGGTTAGGTACACAAGGATTTGGAGAGGCGTTTGAAGCTAAAACAAAGATAAATTTTGAAACCCCCAAGCTGCAGCTTTGCTTTGATATGAGTGTATGTTCTGGTTCAAGCAAAAATTACACATAAATTTGTCACGATCTACTGTAACATGCAACAAAGCATGTATTTGTCATCAACTCGCTAATATCGTCTAAATCAATTTCTTTGTTTGTGCTTAGAGTCCATGGCCATAAATGTGAATGTTTTATACGAGCCCGAACCATTCGTATAGCATCTTTGAGTTAGTGAAGACCTGGGTCTAATGAACCAAATTATTGCAATTGAAAACAAGTGCTAGTGACATATCTTTTATTTTACTCTCAATGTTCAACTTGTTAGTGTCTTGTACCTACTTCTCGTTGCTTAATCTCATTTTATGACTTACTCTTATTTTAAGATTTCTCTTATTGTGGTGTTTAGAGTTTTGTACATCGTTCCGATTGAATAATATACCAGGTTCTGTTTCTCATCCAATTTTTTTTCTTCACAGTTATATTCATGAAATAAATGTATTGTTTTATCACTAGGTATTTGTTGAGTATAATATCATTGATTTTTAATGGGCTATACATGAACCATAAATTTCCACGACCAGGTTTACCCGTTTTAATACATTTGTGTATGTTGTTTGCGACCAGTGCATAATCTCGCCGTGTTTATATATCAATTCCCAACTCAAGTACATCATTATGAACGTACTGCTTTTTTGTTTTCCAAACATTATTAAAACAAAAGCATTGTAACGACAATTTACTTCATTTTAAAAAATGAAGAAACTTAGGTGACTCAGTAACTTCGCAAACAGGTTTTCATAGTTATTATACAGGACAATTCGTTATGTAAACTACGAGTATGTTTGAATCCTGTCATTCAACCTACCATGCCACCTGACCATTTTTTAGTTAGCATTATATTTGATTCGTTACTATCAGTATGTTGTTTCATTAAAATCTTACAATTTGCTGTCTAGTAAAATTTCACTTGGTGCTTCCCAACGATTGTAAAAATATTTTAATTCAAAAACATACATATCGGGTTGTCCATGACTCAGTATATCGATTGAGTAATGTAGAAGTTGCTATCCTTTTAGTCTCATAATAATACACGAAATTATTTCGTCGAAAGTCAATTTCAAATTCATTTTTTCATCCCATACAGACGGACTGGACCTTGTCAGTTCTCAGAAAAGCATACAAACTCACAAATTTGTTTAAACCCCTATCACTGGAGTCGAGTACTTATTCAAGATAAAATTAATGAGGAAAATAACTGCTCAAGATATTCTTCAGATCCAGGTAATTAGTCTTTATTTTGTGTTGTATAAAGCTATATATATGAACACCACGTTGAATATGTTACTTCATCTAACAGCTACTGAAGTTTGCTAGCACTAAAGGCACACCCGAAACAAATGCATATTTCACAAGCTCAGGATTTAGATCATAAATTTTTAAAAAGTACCAGTATATTTTATTAATTTATACGAATATTCGTCAATATTAGAACGAATAGTTTGACAGAAATTGGGCGCTGAGTATAGAGAAAACATTACATGTGAAAATTATATTGGAAATAATCTCAGCGATTAAGATTACCCTGAAGAGGTCCAAACAAGTTTGCTGGACGAAACGTTAGAATTATTCAATTATCTCAGTCGCTGAGATTATTTTAAATATAATTTTCACATATATTTTATTAATTGGTTACATTTCTTGGAAGAAGATCAAATTCAACTAGTCCATCCATATTTTGCTAGAGATCTATGAATAACCTTGAGTTCATGGTATAAATAGAGATATTTAACAGCAGTGGATGATATCTTGAAACTTTTCTATACAAATAAAATGATCATGAATCGTCTGTACACATGAATGTTGATAATTTGTATTATTATACTTATTTCGGAAGAAAATATTGATGCATATGCAACCGATAAAAATGATTTTGTTAACAGAAAGTTTCAAACTTGCTACTCTATTTTCAAAATAAACATTCACTAAAGTATTTCAGCCTCAAATATATATTTTTTGTTTTACTCTTATTATTAGCTTTAACGTAAAATAACTATTGATTGTGTATCAGGAAATGCCTTACAGTTAATACAATCTAAATGAATTTCACCATTGTACTTTATTTCATCATTAGGATCTTTTATTGACTTTTACCATTCAATTATAGATTGATATACTCAGTTTTGATCTATACTCTTAGTTTTTTTTATATTCGATAATTTTGTTGTTTGATTATATTTTCCTTGAAAAAGCTTGGACCAGATTGCCAGGCGAAACGTTGGATTTACTTATAATTCATTCGCTGAGATTTTACAAATATATTCTTCTTTTTAATGTCTCAAATTAACTCGGCGCCCAAATATTGTGAAACTATTCGTTCAAATTTAGACGAAAGTTCTTATTTATACTCTTAGTGTTTAAAAACTAACTTTACCACCATTCAATCACTCAACTGAAATAAGTGAAGTAGGTTTAGTTCATCAGTGGTCTAATGGGTAAAAGTTGAGTTCATAGACTGATTTACCCAGCGGGTACCAATGACTAAATCTTCCGAATTTCGGTTCATGATTCAGTGTTAATCAAAGCAATAAAGGTGCATCTGTTTGTTGTCTTTCTCTTAGATACCTTGGTTTATTAATATTTTTTTAATTTCCTTGTTTATTTATTTTGTGTCCTGTTTCATGTGAACTCATCAGTGTTAAATTATTATTATTATTATTATTATTATTATTATTATTATCTAACTGTTTTGTTGATTTTATTTCTCTCAATTTTATTCGTACTATGAAATCCTGAACATTTGACTGTTACGCAAATGTTGGCCATTCCATTTCACAGTCCCTTTTTCTATGATTGTTCACTTTTGACAAATTATTCATAATAAATCTTTTGTGTTGAAAGTTTAACGTCTTATTGTCTTCATTTTGACACTTGTTTCAAAATTTAATCGTAGACAGAACAAAACAAATGCGTACATGTAAATATTTTGTTCGAATAATGAACATAAACACCTAGTAGCTTAACTAATCAATTGTCGTACTAATTTGTGTTTACAATTATCTCAGTGTATTATATAAATTTTAGGTTTTAAAAAGTAAACAACATAAAGTAGGAATAACCTTGAATCTATATGTTCATTAGATTTTCTTACAAGCATTAGTGTTTGTTCATGATTTTGTTCGTTCGGATTTTCAACGACTGAATGATTTGTTATTTAAAGATTTCCTTTGTCGAGTTGAAGTATGTGGGAAATCTGATTATATGCAATGGCAAAACACAGTCTTGTGAATAGTTCAGTTAGCAATGCCAACATATTATTTTTGCATTTCTCTTTTTCAAAATGTAAGTTGTTGATTGATAATAGAATACGCAGATGGCGTAGTCCCGTTTGTTGAAGACACTGATAAAATGCAGAGTCTTTTGGTATCACTAAGCAACAATGCCAGGATGATTAGGATGCGTTTCTACCCCTCTAAACGCAAATGTTTGCTTCGGGACTGGACAACCTCAACATCTGAACTAGAGAGTGAAGTAATCGAACGCGTCGACAACTTCACTTATCCTGGAAGTCTGTTCAGCACTAATCGGTTGGTGTCTGACGAAATCTCAGCACGGATTCAGAAAGCTCGTTTGGCTTTTCCGAACTTATGTCACCTATGGCGAAGGCGAGATATCCTGTCAGTTAAAGGATGGGTATACTGTAAGACTTCGTCCTGTTCTACTTTACAGCTGCAAAACATGGCCATTAAGGGTAGAGAATACTCGTAAGTTACTAGTATTTGACCGCAGATGTCTTAGAAATATTGCTGACATCTGCTGGGATCAACAGATAAGTAATAGTGAGGTTAGACGCAAGGTATTAGGGAATGATGGTAAATCAGTTGATGAGGTTGTAAATCATTATCGACTGAGATGGTCGAGCCACGTGTTGCGTATGCCTGAGCACCGATTATCACGACATGCAATGCTAACCGGTGTTCAGGATGGTTGGAAGAAGGTTAGGGGCGGCCAAACCAAAACGTGGCATCAGTTCATAAAGTCATTAACTTCTAGTCTGAGCCATGTTGGTAGATGCAGACTACTTGGTTGGGGTACGCGTGACTATCGTAACCAATGGTTGGAGACTCTTGGTGATATGGCTCCGAATCGATCACAATGGTTTAGGTGTATACACTGTTTGTCTTCCATTAAACAGTGAGATTAAAATTACTTTATACCTTTATTTCTAATTCTTTCTTCTTGTATTATATCCTTATACACAATCTTTTTTATATATATTACCACCATTGACTTAACTACTTCTATGAATCCGGTGTTCATCTTGCTGTGCTAATGAGGTGTGGCAACTTGAAGCAATGCTCATGTATGCCTGGTCCTACGTTGTACCCGACTAACTGACTGGAATTAGTTTACGTCATTTCTAAATTATACGATAGATAGCAATGTTGATGAACTTGTTGACCACGTATATTTAATGTTTTTTTATTCCCAGCTAGTTGTTAACTTTTAGGATCTTAAAACATCAAAACATGTCCCAGCCATCTCAACTGATGAAGTAGTGAAACTTCATCAGTTGAGATGGCTGGGACACGTGTTACGTATGCCCAACCACCGACTGCCTCGACTTGTGATGTTCAGTGGTATAGGAGTAGGTTGGAAGAAAGCTAGGGGCGGCCAGACCAAAACATGGCACAAGTCCATGAAGTCACTGACAAGTGGATTGAGTCATTTTGGTAGGTGTAGACTACCTGGTTGGGGACCGCGAGATAATAGCAACCGATGGTTAGAGACCCTGAATGACATGACTCAAAATCGTTTGCAATGGCGCAGGTGCATCCACTCTTTGTGTTCGCCCAAATTTTAGTCTCCTGATTCCTCCTTGTCTCTTTTTTCTCTTCCCAAATTTATTTCACTGTATTACACTTTAAATAACATCTCCAAACCCTAATCTTCCCGATTACTGATTATATTTTGACTACCTCTACCACTACGGGATTTGAATCGACAATTGTATCTCTGTGTTAATGTGATATGGCAACTCGAACTGATGTACGTACGTACGAAGTTCTACGTTGTTACTGACTGACTGACTGTTTCACTTTTGATTATTTAAGCCACCTTTGTGACACAAGCGAGTGATTTTCGTTGGTGCTCCATATTAATTAGATTACTATTAAAAACTAACTAATACTGGCCAAATGTTTTAGTGTTTTTTTTCTTTTCTCACTACTCATCTGTAGTTTTCCTCAGATTTAAACCCATAGTATTTGATCTCTGTGAAATCATAATATTCCAATCCGATTGGCTCGTGATTGTCGCTCATCATTTTAATTTGCTGGTGTTTCAGATTTTACTACTTACACTGTTGAGATTATCCTTTGCTGTCTTTTTCATTGTTTCCACACAATTGAATTTAGTTATAATATTTATAATTACTCTAGTAGTAGCAGTGGTAGTACTAGTAACAAGTAAATTATTTGTGTTTGTTAAGTGCCTGTCATTAAGTTTGCATTTTTAAGGTTTGTGAAGGATTGCTTGTCTCGTAATTACTCTCTCCCTCCCTCTCTCTATTTGTATATATATACAAGGTGGGAATAAGTTATTTGGATAAGTAGTTGGATAAATAAGTACACAAACACACACATGAGACAATTCTCTGCAAATACAAATTTTGCAAAAAGTTACTTCTTTTAAATAGAAAAATAATTCATATTCAAGTATGAACCGAACATATGAAGTTTACTGTTTGAATTTCTCACAGTATTCAAACCAAGAGCCCAACATATCGTTTATTACTTTATGTTTGTTTTTACCTGTGTGTATGTATGGAGCAATAATGTGGGATATTTAAAATTACTTTAGATATACAGTAAACACTCGAATTCATATGTGTACTGTATTATAACTATTTAAAAATTGACTTGAAATAATGTCAAAATTTTTGTGACATATATGTATACATACATATATAGTTGCACATGCGGACAGGCATATATCGTATTAAGTATGTTACATAAATTTCAATGTCAAATTATGTGTTGTTTATAATATAACAGAAATTTTCTCACTGCTTTTTTAAAACTATCATTTATATGTATATATATAATGTAAAATTTATTGTGCTAATATTAATGTGGATTTTTAAGTATTTTGTTGCTGTTCCATATATTTATTTTTTGTCAACATTACCACTTATTCTCTCCCCCGCCCCACTTTACACAAACAGACTCACTCACATACATATACCCAGCCAACCAAAGATCTTTTGTCTCATTTTCTGTCGC